GAAGATGAGGGGGAGGAGGAGGTGTGACGAACTGTTTTCTGCAACCGCACAATTTTTTGCACAAGGCTACTTCGGGGGTTGATTCCGGAGGGCCCGCGCGATTACATGGGTGCCCTTGCTTTCCTTGTTTTTCAAAATCGAGGCCGGGGTAATCTTGTTACGATTGGTAGCTGGTCGCGCCTTAGCAACCGTGAAAGATAACTGTTGCCATAGCTTCTTTCTTGTTCTGCTGTGAGAAATGGGAATTTTGGCGCGGTCGTCGCACGGGAAAATCTTTTTGAATTTTCAACGAGCCCCCGTGGGCTCTCGGAATTTGCTTCGTTCGAAATTTCTTCTTGCAATTAGGATTTAGATTAGGAATTTAGGCGCGTCTCAATTTTTGTTGCACAGCGCTTCTTGCTTGCACACGCTTTGCCGCGTCAGGATTTGTGTTCTGACTTTTTCGCGCCTTAATCCTTGCGTGTAACTGTAACCGTAATCCTCCTGTTCGTGATATCTTTTCTGGTATCCCTGTGCGCGAGTACTTCTTCCTTTGTCCTATTGGCCTGAACGCTTGCCTGACTAGATCGATGTGTGGAGTGAGGCTACGTCCCCCACGCCGCGGCTTGGCCATGCAGACGTAGTCACTTCCTTCCTCCCCCTTCTTTTCCACTTAGGCACAACCCTGGGTATTTCGCGCAAGCATGCATGCTATAAACTTCGCAAGCGTGATTGACTCGCTCTCTAAGAATCCTGGGAGTTAGCGCGGTTGAGAGGATCAACTAACGAAGGAGATTTGGAAGGTGAGTAGAGAGTTGGGTGATCCGACGAGCTGGTGTTGGGCGTGCGGGGTTGACGTGGGGCCACGACGGACTGTGGCACACGGGCGAACCTAGTTGGCATGCTCGGACTAAGCGGGGTGACAACTCTGTGTGGGTGCGAGGCAACGGACTGCCGGCATCGGGAGGTTCTGAAGAGAGAGAGAGAGAGAGAGAGAGAGAGAGAGAGAGAGAGAGAGAGAGAGAGAGAGAGAGAGAGAGAGAGAGAGAGAGAGAGCGACGGGATGAGTTGTGGTGATGTTCTCCTCCAATCTTCTGAGTAATTTTGGTATCGGCGTCAGTCGCCTGGTCTTTTTTTTTATCGGCATCTCGGATTTTTCGTTTTCCTTACTTCCTTTCTTTGAAGACTGGCATGTGGATTGTTTTTCCCCACTCTCTGTCTTTTTGAATCGGCAAATCTGATTGATTGGTTTCCGGCGATCGAGCCTTGTGTGATCTTGGGGCTGATTGGCCAAAAAATTGTTGCATGATCCTCGATTCTTTTTGTTTGTATGTGAGCTAGATGCATGAATGATAGGCGTGATTTTGTCTGTGTATGAATTGGATAGAGTCCGATAGACATGTTAGACTATTAGATGACCGTCTCACTATAGGATGATCCATCTCGCGAATCGCTGGCTTTCAGCCACCCGATCGAAGGACAGGTCCCGCGCATGCACGTGTAGGCTCAGCCAAAGACGATCGTCGCCTACACTCGCGTCTGCGAAAACCTGAACTCGACTAATTTCCCGAATGATTGGTGTTCCATCCCGGCTTGCACCATGAATTTCGGCATTCCTTTTCATGTCACTGACCGGGAGTGTTTGAGGGATCGGGAATTCCGAGAATATTGGGAGCACTCTTGTTTGTCTGCATGACCGTGGGCGGAACCTCCGAAATTTCCCTACTTGACGGGGAACAAATGTATTTGCGAGTGGGACATCAACCAAGCCTTGGGACGTAACCCCCATCTCCCCAGCTACTCTAGCCCATACACGTGTCAAGTCCTTGAGGGGCCCGGAATCATTATCTTAGGGACCGAATTCCTTCCCTATCACCGCACCCTACCCTACCACTCCCTAACCATCGTCCCCTGGCTCGCAATCGCTCCTTACTGGCCCCAGCCCCCGTGCTCAGAGTGTCTGCGGGACCACGAGTATCGAGCCTCTAGCTTCATCCGGCGAACTCGTTCGGAGGAAAAACGATGGGCGCACAGTCTTAGACCGAGGCCAGCCACGTCGGATTCGGAGACTTGTGACATCCGACATCGTCAGGTGACGAATCAGCGGGATACCCATAGCGTCCCCATAGTGCAACAGGTGCCAACAGATACGACCGCGACCCGGACGACGGAACCAACGGAGGCGGTAGCTCTGCCCCCCCGAAGCAAAACGGAACAATATTATACTCCAGTTCGCGCCTACCCTCCTGCATTCGCATCCCGGGGCTTGTCACAGGAGATCTCAATTCCGACCTGGGACTCCACCCCCACTTTCCTAAAATCCTTGGCTCACCCCCTTTTCGCACTTCCAGCCTCCAGGCCCATTCACACTCCGATCAGGAAGTTGCACCGGGCGTGAGGTTGGGCGTCACAGAGGAGGAAGAAGAAGAAAAAGACAAGGAGAGGAGGAGGGGGAGGTGAAGGAGGAGAAGGGTATGGCAGGCGAAGATGAGGAGGATGAGGAGGAGAGGAGGGGGAGGAGAAAGAGGAGAACGATCTGGCGGGCAAAGTTGAGGGCCCGGGGAGGAGGAGAAAAAAGAAGAAGAACCGAAGGAGGAGAGGAGGAGGGGGAGGAGAAGGAGGAGAAAGATATGGCCGCCGAGGATGAGGTGGAGGAGGAGGAGAAGAAGGAGAGGAGGAGGACGAAAAAAGAAGGAGAAGATATTACGGCCATCACAGAGGATGAGGACGAGAAGATATGGTGGGCGAAGACGAGGGGGAGGACGACCGGGAGGAGGAGGTCAAAGAAGAAGAAACGGAGGAGGAGGACGAAGAACAAGAAGAAGAAGAAAAGGAGGAGGAGGAGGAGGAGGAGGAGGAGGAGGAGGAGGAGGGGGTAGATGAAGGAGAGAAGGAGGATGACAAAAGAACAAGAAGATGAAAGTAGGAGGAGGAGGAAGAGGAGGGGACGAGGAGAAAAAGAAAAACGTGCGGAGAAGGAGAATACGAGGGGGAGAAGAAGAGTACGAGGAGGAGGAGGCCCGTTCCTCTTCTTCCTCCTCCTCCGTCGCCGTGGCCTCCTCGAATCAATCAATCAATAAATCAATCAATCAATCAATCAATCAATCAATCAATCAACCAATCAATCAATCAATCAATCAATCAATCAATCAATCAATCAATCAATCGACCAATTGATCGATCGAAGATCCCATCGAACCGATAGGATCTTGACACATATCAAGATCCTATCGAATCAATCGATTCGATGGGATCTTCGATCGATCGATTGGTCGATTGATTGATTGATTGATTGATTGATTGATTGATTGATTGATTGATTGATTGATTGATTGATTAATTGATTGATTGATTGATCAGACAAAAAAAAGAGATAAAGAAAAAGACAAAAAAAAGTGGGGGAGGAGGAGGCCGTTAATACGAGAAGGAAAATAAGAAGAATACGAGAAGAGAAGGAGAAGAACATGAGGAGGAGGAGGAGGGGAATTACGAGGCGAAAGAAGAAGAAGAAGAACCAAAAAAAAAAAAAAAAGGGCGCGTGCTCACATGGCAGTCGCGCGTTGGTCGGTGGAGGAGGAGGAGGAAGTACAGCAGGAGGACGACGACGGGGAGTAGGAATAGGAGGAGGTACAGGAGGACGAGGACAGGGAGGAAGAGGAGGACGAGGAGGAAGTAAAGAAGGAGGACGACGACGGGGAGGAGGAGGAGGAGGAAGTACAGGAGGAGGACGACGAAGGGAAGGAGGAGGAAGAGGAGGAGGAGGAAATACCAGCGGAGGATGACGATGGGGAGGAGGAGGAGAAGGAGGAGCAGGAGGAGGAGGAGGAGGAGGACGACGACGACGACGAGGAGGAGGAGGAGGAGGAGTGGAGGAGCAGGAGGAGGAGTGGAGAAGCAGGAGGAGGAGGAGGAGGGGGATGGACACATACCACGACGATGGCGTGCTCCCTGCTAGGCAGCACTGACATCGACGATGGTGTGAGCTGCCCGGTTCGGAGCTGCGGGGATACACACACACCCCTGGCCAGTTCAAATTCGAACGCGGGCCCAAGCTGGCTCCTCCCACCAGGTCGCCTGCCCAAACCCGCCCCCAGGGCCCCCACCTGCCCCCCAGACCTTTCCGAGGGCTGGTAACGCCCATTGGACGAATGTGTTCACAGGCCTCGGAAAGACGTTCGAACGTGTTCGTTTCCAGTTCGGGCAAACAACCGAACGTGTTCGAACGTTCGAAAAACTTTTGAACACGTTCGGTGTGCTACGCAAAGTGCTTTCATTGTAATATTGTTTTTTCCATGATTGATAAGTGTAGATAATAATTTAACTTCATCGCCAAGCTTTAGTATCTTCGAGGATATTCTTAAATTAATACAAATATCATGTTTATTAAGGTTTATTTTTATTTATTTTTATTTTTATTATTTTTTATTTTTTTAATGGCAAGCCTATCTTTGGTTCTCTTAAAAAAGAATAGAACGACTGACGCCTACGATCACCTATCTAAAATCCAACATATTATGAAACTACAGGCTACAACTAACGCTCCTTTGTATAATTTGTTTGGTTGTTCTCTGTGGGACCACGACACTTGTGTTTTTTTATCTATTAACTCAAAGAGAAACTTCCATTGATGCTCCTTTCTTTAATGGTACTACAAAAATACCCAACCCTAAGCCCTCCTCAACTTCCTTTCCTGTTCCCTGGCTGTCGTTTGTCTCCATCTCCCTATACCACTGAAGATCCACCGTAGCGTTGGACTCTGGTGGGAACATGTATTGGAAGTCTGGTGGGGGTCTTAGTGGGATGGTGGGGTCTATCTGCGTCCAATCATGGAAAGTGAGTACATAATTATTTCGCAGCAGCCTCTCCCCTCTCTCTCCCACCCTTTCTCTCCCTTCTCTCCCCTCTCTCCCCTCTCTCCCCTCTCTCGCTAAAAAAACACCACAAGTTTTATGAAAAATAGAGAAAGTAGAAGCTACGGTTCACGGCGGCTGTGTCACCAGAGGCCACGGAGTGGGAGAAAGTGGTTAATGAAGATTTAAAGCGTCATTTAGGTAAATACATATTAAAATAGTAAAAACATACGCTTCCCCTGACCAACTCACATGTGCCATCCATCCCCCTCGTTCCCTGCCCCCTCCAGTCTCTACACGAGGAGGAGGGAATCCTAGTGTCTTCGTTTTAGAACCTCAAGCTTAAAAATTATCATGCCAAGTTGCCAACCGTAAGCAAAATGTATGTTCTCCTATCTACAGCCCTCGAGCACACTCAGGCTATCCGTCTGCCTCTGGTATACCATCCTTCACCCGCTCAGTAGGGTGGATATCGATGTAGAATCCACAGGCAGAAATAGATAACCAGGCCTTGTTGGAACTTCAAGTTGCCCCGGAGGGCTTGTTTTTTTTGTTTTTTTAATGTGTGTAATCCTTGCGTAGGGTCCATGCTAATCTTCTTTGAATCTACAGGTGCTATTGCCATCATTCTCCCACACACCACACACAACCCACTCACGTCACACTCACACCCATGTCGGTCATAGACCCTACTACTAGCGATCTGGTTGACACTAAGGGTAGGACCCCACAGGACGGCGGCAAACGGTTTCGGAAGTCTTCGACTTCCAGCCGACTGCCCACTGTCAACGGAGATGATGAAACAGAGGGGACCCCACCGCCACCACGAAATGTTGTTTTTGTGTCAGAGGCGGTTACCCAACTTAAAAAAGTAAATTCCGGGTCAATTTTCCTTTTTGGGAAAGGTCAGGGCCTGGAAGCCCATTCTGAGTCCCTTACCATTGGTTGTAATGGAAGGGCTGCCGACTTCCGTCCGCATGCGCCCGACTATGCACCTGAGAGGTATGTAAACGGACAGAGTATTGGAAAACAGGAATATAGGGCCACATAGAAATAAAGGGGTCGTGGACCAAATGAAAACGGTTGCCCGTCGTCTTCCGCAACAGGATTCTTGGTCAGTGGGGTCCGGGAAGTTGCCTTGCGACTTTCGAAACCGTTTGCGGCCGTCCTGTGAGGTCCTACCCTAAGGGCCAGATCCCACTGGCAAAGAGGATTGGAATAAATGTCTGAATCAGGACGTGTTCCGGGAAGAGATACAGAAAAGCAGATCAATTACAGTTTTTTGCACCTCTCCAAAAACAAGTCCACATTGAGACACTTATTCCAATCGTTTTTGCTAGTGGGATCCCGCCCTAACTGTACCGCAGGCGATCAGGGGGGCTCCAGCCCACAACCTCCTGAATGCCACTTGTGCACCTATTTACCAAAAAAAAAAAAAAAAAAAAAAAAAAAGAAAAGAAAAAAAAAAAACTTTTTTTTTTTTTTTTTTTTTTTTTTTTTTTTCAAAAGAAACAGTAATTTCATTAGGGCTCAGTGCCCAAGGCAGAAATACAATGTAAAAGAACTGCAGATTCAAGGGTCGCTAGGTCTCAAATCCCGCTGCTTCGGGTGGAGTCCCTCCCTGTAGAAAACCACTGTTTTCCAAAAAATTAAACACAACAAAATCCCATATTCCTGCTTTGAAAAAACATAAAAAAATCCATGACAAAAAACCTACTTAGGGTTTCGACTAGCGCCACAAGTTTCGTAAAACTCACCACAACAGTCCTAATTAATACCCACTGTAAAAACAAACCAAAACAACCGCACCGAACTAATCCTAATAAGGGTTTCGATTAATTCCTAAATCATACTGCCCCACGGAATTCCTAATTAGGGTTGCTAATGTTACCAAAAATAAAATAAAAAAATCATGTCCCAACAAAGGCACCGCAATGAAAATTCCTAATTAGGGTTGCAATCGTAATTACCATAAAAATTCCTAATTAAGGCTAACACATTTACCAATATCTAACCGATGAAAACAAACCCAAAGTAATGTGTTAAGCCAGTACCGTGCCAGAAACGAAAATTAAAACCAAAAGAACTAGTAAAACAACTTGGAAAAAGTATTCGCCTAAAGCAGCGACATCCAACGAAGAAAAGCAGCAGTTGGCATAACACAACACACTCGACGCCGAGTCGACGGTAAAATTTAACAAACAGGTTCTCCTGCTTGTCAGCAGTCAAACGCCTGATATGAATGTTCATCACAGTCTGGCGTACGGGACACCAACCGTGGGCAGAGCCTTTGTCATACTCCGACCAACTCTCTCCCCTGGCCAATCGATGAGAAACTCTCGCATACTGAAGCAGCAAACATAGCAGATAATATGCCAAATCTGAAGACCAGACGCACCGACTCGGACGCGCCTATCCCGGTTACAAATAACATGTAATTGTTTACAAATAGCGTATAAATAGCATGCCGCCCCCGCTCCCGATGAAGATATCAGTCGCCTCAGACAAACTCCATAGTCGCAAAACACAGCTATGACCGTCGCGGGTGGTAAGGACGTCCGGGGCATGGTGACCTCAGGCTTAGCACCTCACTAGGTGGTGTCGGGCCGCAGCGCTCGACCACCGCGCGACGTACCTGAATAGCACTCCTTCCTGTTTGCTTCTATAATGTGTGCGTAATGGATTATATGGTATTGATGTATCTTTCACTTATGTTTTCATGCTTGGGCAGTCTGGCCGGATTGTCTGTCTCTATACACATCCCCGGAAGAGCTCTGGATTCCTTTTTTTTTCTTCTCAAAATAAGAATCCGGGATCCTCTACATTACTCCCCGATAGAAACATCCAGCTTAGCTTATAGGCTGAAAGCCTGCGGGTTTTTCTTTCGCTACAGACTTCACGCAGCTCCCGGGCTGTTGTTGCTTCTACTACTACCACTACAATACTCTAGATCTAATGATTACCTACCTACTACCAATTTTTATTTATTTATTTTTTTGTTTATTTATTCTACTACCAAGTCGGGGTGCAAGGAACGAAGAGGGGGAAAAGATAGATAGATAGATAGATAGAGAGAGAGAGAGAGAGAGAGAGAGAGAGAGAGAGAGAGAGAGAGAGAGAGAGAGAG